GTTCATTTCTCTTGTTGCCGGTTGATCTCCTCTTATCTGTTTGATTCCCTTTGGGTCGGGAATTTCAATAGTTAGTGATATGTTGATGGTATGGCCTTCATCTCATGTAACCATGCTTTACCGAGAATTATGTTGTAGCCCATGTCACCATCCACCATTTCAAATAAGGTGGTATTTGTGACCCCTTCGGCGTTCATGGGCAGCAAGATCTCTCATCGGGTTGTCACACTTGCCAAGTTGAACCCGACGAGGAGCTTTGTTGCTGGAATGATAATTCCGATTAATTTGGATTATTCCAGCACTCTCCATTGAATGATATCGGCTGAGCTTCCTGGGTCAACCAAAATACGCTTAATATTGAAATCTAGAACATTAAGGGAAATTACCGTGGCATCGTTATGCGGTAGAAGAAGTCCATCGGCATCTTGCTCCATGAAGGTGATGTCATCTTCGGCAACTTCCCAGAGTCTCTTGTTGTGGGTTACCAAAACCTTCATCTTCTTGTCCACCGAGAAGGTTACACTATTGATTTCATTCCCTCCGAAAATTATATTGATAGTCAGCCAAGGAGGGTCTTCCCCTATCTTCGAGGGTTCTGTGTTGTCCTGACTGCAGCCGTAATTGTTTTTGGCTCGGTCGCTCAAGAACTCCATAAGATGGCTGTTCTTCAATAGCGTTGCCACCTACTCGCACAAATGCTGACAGTCCCCAGTTTTGTGGCCATGAGTCCCGTGATATTTTCACCATAAGTTGGGATCCCTCTGGCTGGGATCAAATCTGTTTGGCTTCGGGAATCTTGTTTTTTTGATATTCCTCATCGCCGATACCAACTCCACTACACTGATGTTGAAATTATAATCTGACAACCTGGGATAAGTGGAATCCCGAGTCCCCGATACCTCTTTTTCTAGTAACGATATGTTGTTCCGACCACTGTCAGTTCTTCTTTCGGGAGTGAACCTATTCGAGGACCGGAACCCTTTACTGCTGTGTCCCTCAGCTCTCTCGTAAGGCAAAAAGCAGCCTTTAAAAAATCGCCTGTCCGTATCAAAATCATCCTTGAACTTATCTCGGTCCTTGTCTCGGTCCCCCCCTTGGTTGATGTCGGGAACCCAAGTTGATCATCTTCTATCCTTATCTTCGATTCATAGCGGTTATGGACATCCGTCCATGTGGTTGCTAGGAACTCGAGCAGGCTTTCCTTCAGCTTTCGGAAGGCATCAAAGCTTATCGAGTTCAAACCTTTTGTGAATGCCTCCGTTGTCCACTCGTCTAGTACGACCGATAGCAACATCCTTTCTTTCTGGAATCTGATCACAAATTCTCGCATTAATTCGAACTCACCCAATGCGATCCTGAATATGTTCACCTTCCTGGCCTGGACCTTCCTGTCCCCGGTATGGGCCTTAATGAACGAATCTGCGAGCATTTCAAAAGAATCAATCGAATGCTCGAGTAATAGTGAATGCCATGTCAGGGCCCCCTTAGTGAGGGTTTCTCCAAACTTTTTCAGCAGGACCGACTCGATCTCATGTTGAGCTAAATCGTTCCCTTTCACCGCCGTTGTATAAGTTATGATATGCTTCTGGGATCTGAAGTCCCATCATATTTTGGTATGTCCGGCATCTTGAATCTCTTTGGGATTAACTCCGATGCTGCACTCGGTTTGAACGGCAACTGAGAATATTTTTTTGAATCCGGGTCCTTCAAAACTAGTGGTGCGCCCGGAATTTGGTCCATTCGGGCGCAAAATCCTTCATGTTCTGATCCATCCGCTCTTTCATCTCTCTCATGAACCTTATGAGTTTGGTTTTGAAGGGATCATTACTGTTATCGTTACCGGAATCGGTACCGGTCCCCCCGGCACCGTCAATGTCGACCTCACCCCTAGGGGTATTATTATCAACTCTTTGAGCCGTTTGATTTGCAAGAGCGTCGGGAGGAACTAGGACTCTTCCGTTTGCATTGTTGGAAGCACCTGATAATGCCTACTTCAATTCCGTAATGACCTAGTCCTGCCTTGAGAGATGACCCATGATGGCTTTCTGTTGCTCTCTCAAGATCCTTACCGTTTTCGCAACGTGTTCGTCCTCCGCATCATCGGGAGTTGGTTCCCGAACATGTTGGGGATATTGTCCGCCATGGACCGGAGTTGCCACGTCCCCTCGTTGCAGGTGTCACTGATCGAATTCTCATGTTGAGGCAGATTTTCATGCTTCTCAATGTTGTGTGCGATGTTGACATCGTTAGCTGCCATTTTTGATTTTTTTGCTATGAAACAAAGAATCAAACGAATTAGTAATAAATGCAAGAATCAACTCAATTATGCAACTGTCTAATCCCCACGGCGGGCGCTAAACTGTTTACTCGTAAAATGGTACAGTTGAATTTATTACGTGATTTATAGACAAGCGAACTGATTTGATCCAAAAATAATAAATAAACTAGATTAAAAATAAGACTTAGCATTAAGACCAAAAGAAATGGATAGCCCGGCTCCAGGAGCGATGCTTCTGAGGACAAAAATAAGAACAATATGTAAGAACAAGTAAAGTTATCTTATTTAGCTTGAGAATAGAATGCAACAGAAGTTATGCCAAGAATTTCCTCTCCTTACGATGACTGTTGAAACTACTATTTATAACTATACCTAGGAAACAAGATCCTAGGATCAAGCTCATCTTAAATGACAATAAAAGGGGCAATTGATGAATACGTAATGGTATGCCATGAATGCCAAAATTCTCTGTAACGGCTGCCTATTTAATACTAGGGAATATTCTTCATTAAATACCATCTGGTGACAAAAATTCGACCCACTCACGTTGACTATGCTCCCTTCCAGGTATGTCCGATGCTAATTGCAGTTGTTGTTCCCGGTCTTGGTTCTTACTCGATTTGTCTTTCGCATGTCTCATGTTCCACGTGTCACGCTATCATTCGATCATTTAATATAAATCAATTTTACCCTATACATAACTCAAATTGTCAGCATTAAAATGTATAAAATCATCAATTGGTTGAGGTAAGTAAACAACAATAATTTGTCAATCACTTTCGGAAGAGGGAAAACTTGAGTGAAGAGAAGAATAAAAGACACAAGAAGAAAGAAGGAGAAGACATGCAAACGTTTTTTTTTCAGTCAAGAGAGAAAAGAGTAATAAAAGTAGCGATTATTGGTTAAAAAACGGTAGGTGGAAAAAATAAAAGAAGCGACCGTTGTGTTTTTTATTGAAAGCACATAAATGAAAAAAATGGGGGAAAAATAAAAATTGCCAAAAAAGGGAGAAAACAGATAAATACCCTTGTTGGGCATATAGATTCACACATCATTTTTTCATTCCCAGCTTTATATACCACGTAACAAGACTTGTAAATAATTAAGTCTCTGTAAGTTTAGTTTATTTTAGATTTGAACTCTTAACATCAAATTCATGCGAGGAGTTTTTTGGATTGAGGGTCTACACAAGATTGCCACGTTGGCTTAGGGGACATTTAGTATTTTTAGTTTTAGGATTCTAATTTTATAATTGTAGTCAAATAACAATTTTTTGTTAAATTTAAAAACTCCTAAACATTGGGTAAAATCTTAGATATTATAATTTTATCCAACATGATGCTTTTTTAAAGAAATATTTTAGATTTGAAAGGGCATAAAAGTCTTTTTAATATTTCGAGTATATTTTTACGTTTAACATTTAGTGTTCTAATATTCGTGCTTTTATAATAACTAGTTTTAGAATACGTGCGTACTCTATATCAGTGAACATAAATTTTTAAAAATCACACAAATACTACTAAACTATGTAATTGAGTTATAGGGAAAAAAAGTACAAACTCTTAAAAATGAGTAATATTGATCATATTTAGCTAACTTAATAGAGAAAAGAATTATGTCACGCAAAAATATTGTAATGCTTTATCATAACTTAAACAATTTTTAATGCTTATTATTATTTCACTAAAAACATACAACAATTTTTAATTGTTACTCCCAAATTAATTTTCGTGTTTCAATTTTTGAGAGTCACTTTGATTAAATTTTAAAGTTAAATTGAATTTAGATCAACTCACTATTTAATATTAAAATTTATATATTCAAAAGTTATACAAAAAATATTACAAGTTGTAACTTTTTCATTCCAATACGGTACTACCACGGTAGCATCTAGTGTGGTCAGCACCAATCGTGTTAAAAATGTGATCAAAATTTACATTATTTAGCTCTTAAAAAGTAAAATATGACAACTAATTTGAGACGGAAGATGTACTACTGAATAATTTGGAAATCAATAATTTACTATGTCTACGAGGAGGCTAACTAAGTGTTATATATACTTATTAATCCTCTTAAATTCCTTAAATATGAAATGACCTTTGTTTTTTATTCTAATGGTTTCAATACATAATTTAGTAAGCCAAACAAAAAGCAAGTCTTCTTTTATTGATACGGTCTCTTTTATAGTTTTTAAAAAAAAATCATTCACAGGGAAACTTGCAGTTTTTATCATTTGGTTGCGTGTTGAGTAACTTGCTCACTATGCAATAGGTCATAAATTATACAAAAAATATAAATTGCACTAGAGAAACTCAGTACGACGAGTTCTGACTGAGAAGATTGCTGATAAGGAAAGTCGATCCATGTTCAAGAAGTTTTTCTTTTTATTTTTGTAAGAAGGGAATAATACAGTCAAACCTCTCTATAATATCATCATTTGTTCCGAAATATTTTAGCTTTTATAGTGAATGGTTGTTATACACCTATAACATCATTTGGCGTTTGAATATATTTTGGCTGTTATAGACAAAAATTATCCAAAAAATAATTTTTTTTTCTTTTTTAATATTACATATAAAGGTAAAAATAATATTTAAATTCAAAATCTCAAAAGATATGAATATTTCATGAATTAAATGCTAAAGAAATCTAATATATTATTAAAAAAATTCATAACTAAACGTACAAACATTTAAAACTCTAAGGCACACAATTAAATCTTTCAAGATTGATGGAAGAACTCCATAATTGTAGCTTGTTTCATAGATTCCAGTCTCTTACTAGCGGTATAACGCTTGAATCGGCGAAGATTTGCATTCGAACTATCAGCAAAAAGATATCCAATTGCTTTTTCTTGAAGGCAATCTGAGAGCTTAACAATTGAATCTTCTATCTCACTCCAAGTAGCAGTAGGTTGAGGTTCTTTGTCAGCACTTTCATTTACCTCCATAGTGTCTTCTTCTTCCACTCCAATAACTTGGGCAATAATTTCTTCATTAGTGAAAGTCTCAATAATAGGAAGTGTTGCATCAAATTGCACATATGTGGCAGCATCCATCGTCTCATTGATGTTATCATATGGGATTTGTGCTATAAGTGATGATACATTCCCAACATCATCGACTAATTCAATATTTTCACTATCAATATTGGGATTGTCATGTGTAGGTAGGATTCCAGTCTTTTTCCAACAATGGAGAATGGTGGAGGCCTTCACATCATTCCATGCTTCTACTAAAGTGTTAATAGCTTGTCGCATATTGAACTTATTGTCATTAGATAATGGATGGCTCCCATTGCGCTCATATTCATCAATCAGATTCTTGATGAAGCGGCTTTTGTACTTAACTTTAAAATTTACAATTATACCGGCATCAACATGTTGAAGATGTGATGTCATATTAGGTGGGAGATAATGAACCTGAATAATTCAATGTTAGTACAATAGCACCACTAAAAAAATATAATCAAGGCTACAATGCATATTTTCATGAAACGTACTGTTATCTTTAAGATATATATTTCTATTATAAGTTTTATATTAAAGTTATAAAATATTTGATTAAAATATTTAGAATTATTATTAATAATAATCTTAGAAAATGTACATGGCTGTTATAGAGGGGTAATTTTACAAAAAGCGTACTGTCATAAAGATGGATGTTACTGTTATAGGTAAAAAGTTGTTATAGAGAGGTAAAATATAACATAAAAAATCGATTCTAAGAAAAATTAAATTTTTATAGTAAATGATTGTTATATAGGGATGTTGTTATAGAGAGTAAAAATGGCGTGTGGTAGCCACTAAATAAGGTGGTATTTATTTTTTATCCACCAATTCTAATGTTGAGCAAAAATAACCACTACTCTATTAAAATTAATATGAAAAGATATTTTTACCCTTTCTTCTATTTCTTTTATTCCCAAACCCTTCCTTTATACCCTTCCTTTATACCCTCCTTTATACGCTTCTCTCATTTAAGTTCAGAGCCAAAATTTCATAGGCAAAATTTTGCTCCCTCAATATAGTTCCTGCAAGCAACTCTCTTCTCTCGATTGAAGTTCAGAGCCAAAATTTGATAAGCAAAATTTTGCTCCCTTAATATCGCTCCTGCCCAGCCCACAATAATTGTCTGTGTATACTTTGTCCAACTTAATCTCTTCTCATTTGTCATCTTCTCTACAGCGAACCAGCGTACGGGTATGTTTTCGATTTTGCTTTTATGCATTTTTCTTTTTGTATATCTCTAATCGTGATCAATGCTGTATTTGTCATCAAGTATGTGTGAAATGTCCAAAATAATGATTATAACTTGATTCG